CTCATATGTGTTGTAAGTTTATATAAATTGTATCAGTTATTGTTTTCATTATATAATAATACAAAACATTACCTGTATGTATACTAGCATTATTAGAGGAAGAGGGATTGTGCTTAAGATGGTCTGAGAGTATTATAGTAGTGAGTGTACTGTGTATGTACAAGTACTATATCTTGTATCTCTTTATACTAGCTAACTTTTCTGTTCCCTTAAAGAACTTTGTAACATTAGAGTCCTTCATTATAGTGTTAACAAAGGTATGTATTGTAGACAACATTATAATAGGTTTAGGAGGAGAGAGAGGTTTAGGGCTTGGTGTACTAGTAGGAGGCAAAGGTGTTCTGTAAGAGTAAGTATGTAGAAGCATTTAATAAGTACTAAGGCTCATAACCTTTTAACAAGTATAGTAGGAGTACTCCAAACTCTCTTTCTTTAAGACATCAAGTAAGTGTCTGCCTTATATACTATATAGTAAAGTCTGATAGTCTGAGACATTCTAAGTATAGTAACTCTATATAAGACAATTAGGGATTTCCTAATCTAGAGTGTAATCTAATAGATACTACTTCTTTAAGATATACAAATAGACTGTACAGAGTCTAATAGATGTGAACTACTCTTACATATATTGTATAGTGTATTGTATACTCTTTAAGTATACAAATAGACTATACTGTGTCTTACAGATGTAAACAGTAGTTTACATTGACTGTAGGAACTGATTTCTATTACACTAGTACTTCTTGTGTTTTATACTTAGTATAATACAAATAATAAAAGTAATTGTATTCTAATACATATAAGCTTACATATATTCAGAAACATATTATTATAGTACTTAATAGTATATCTATCTTATATAATATGTTAATAAGACAGAATTATTTTAATATATATTATATAATTGGTCCAGAGGTCCGGACCGGGTTCGGACCTGGACTGGACCGCTGGTCCGGTCCACAAGAGGTCCAGCTGGGTCCGGTCCGAGGTCCAGGATTTCATAAGAAATCGGTCCTGGTCCGGTTCACGGTCCAGCAAAAACCTGTCTGGACCGGACCTGGACCGGACCACGGCAACTATACTAATATGTCTACCCAGTCTACGGGCTCAAAAAGGCTCGAACAGAGTACATGCAATAACGTCGGAAGAAGCTACATATCCTGGTTCTTCGTCGCGATAATAATCAGTGTCTGGACGTGCAGCCCGTATTTTGAAATCTAACTTGAACAATGTATATGAAATCGGGGACTGCAACTAGATTTCTATATTTGACACAGACAGTTGCATCTATTTATACGGTATACGGTAATACACGGCACGTGAATTGTCAGGTTTATCGGAACGGCAGAAAACGAATCCATAATTAGATGCCTCGGCACGTCTATTCAAACAACGGCGAGCTTCACCGTTGTAATTTACATGCCGAGCGTCTCAATAAACCTATCTTCCGCCTGCCCTTAATGCCTGAGCTGCCCCTCACACCGATTTGATAACGTCGTTTATTTCGATCTTTTTTGTTAGACATGCCAACTCCAAAGTTCACTGTGGCCATTTGGTGAGTACGATTGCTATGTGTTTATGGTGCACCTAAATTTATGATTGGCTGAAGCGGTGGTGGAATCGCCGGACTGATGACCGCTATTGCCCTTGCTCGGCTATCTTCCAGGAAGGACTTTCGCATCGATATCTATGAAGCGAAACAAGAATTCACCGAAATCGGGGCAGGCGTCGCCATCCGGCAGAGACCTTGGAATATCGTCAAGGCGCTTGGACTTGAGACGGCACTCAGGGAATTCACCGAGGTTCCAGATAACGAGGATGAGCCTCGTGAGTAGTGTATCGCCTTCGCTGCAATTCATACTAATGCTGTAAGCGAAGGATTAATGTTTGAGATGCGCAAATCTGACCAAGCCATAGGTGTTCATTTCTATAAAACCATGGCACCAAGTTTGTCCTTTTCGTAATGTTTTTAGGCTGCTATTAAAGGCTTTTCTAGTGGGAAACCTCTCCTTTCATCGAGCACATCTCCTCAACGCTCTCGCAGTGAACCTAGATGCCGATACCACAGTTTCGCATTTCTCGAAGCGATTAGTTTCTTACGAAATGGCGGATAGGCCCGATGCTGTGAAAGACTCCACAATAACGTTGTTCTTCAAGGACGGTACCTTTGCGACCTGTGACGTGCTAATAGGTTGTGACGGGATCAATTCTGCTGTGCGTGAAAAACTTCTCCAGTCGGCGGCCCGAGATGCGCAAGGTAGGAATGACTTTGAAGTCGCTGCAACACTTCGTGAACATATCAAGCCCGTTTGGAGTGGCAGCGTCGCATATCGAGGAATCATCGCTCGTGAGGTGCTGGCTGAGGTAAATCCGAAGCACTCGGCCATTTTCACGCCTCAGAACGTAAGTGCTGCCTTCGAGATTATTCTTGCCAGCAATGAATACAGCATTTGCAATTCAGTACATGGGAAAGGACAAGGTAAATAGTGGGTTTCATAACGATCCACTACCTTTCTTATGATGCCCTTTAGCATATTATAGTTTTCCCAATTTCGAAAGGACGCTTAATCAATGTTGTTGCTTTCTGCTCATGGCCAAACAATGATGGCTCTGTTTTTGATGGGAAGATAGTCGAAGAATGTTCACAGATGGAACTACTCGAGCAGTATCGCGGCTGGGAGGACGAAGTACCGCAACTTCTCAAGGTTAGTAATGCAGTCAACAATCACTGTATGGTTATCGTCTAACATTTATTTACTGTAGTGCATTCAGAAACCTTCTCGTTGGGCGATCAATGACCTGAAACCTATGCCAGTAAGTGTTCACAATCATGTTGCTCTTGCTGGAGATGCTGCACATGCTATGACTCCGCACCTGGGTATTGGGGCTGGTCAAGGAATAGAAGACGCTTACATTCTTGCTACGCTGTTAACACACCCACTCACTACGCGGAAAACGATAAGGGACGCACTGAAAGTGTACGAGTCTGTACGTCTGCCGTATGCGAACGAAATTCAGCGCTTGTCCCGTATCAATGGCAAGATATATGAATTTGCGGACCCACGCTTTTCAAATTTGCGGTTTGATCGAGAGTTGCTGACCGATGGTAAGATGAATGAGGAAGACAAGACGAGATTAAAAGAGGTTGGGGACGCGTCGATGACGATTCGAGAATGGACTTGGGCTAGGGACATTGAGGAAGATAGGAAGCAAGCCGTTGAAATGTTGGCTGAGAGGCTCTGCAAAGGAGGATATGTGCATAGTTCCGGTTGATCTCATATGTCAAGAATATTCTCAAAGACGGGAACTCATTCTTTTTATTGAAAACCCATGCATTTCGCGGGATTGTGAATGCAAGGCGGATATCCAATAATGTACGGCACGGGTGAATCAACTGGAAAACCCGAGTTAAATTAACAATGGAAGATTTAGGCTTCGGTGAGAGGCGAACGATCTAACACCAATCAATAGTTGATGTGTGTCCCACGGAGATGACATACCGCTGCAAAGCTACACATGCGCAATATCTCAGGGCAGTTAGGGTGCTAATGACCGAAGTTGTATACCGAAAGCTAGTGTTGCTAAATCACTTCCGTATCACTTAAAGTGGGTCTCCGTCTCGTGTCAGAACGTGTTTTCGCATGCACTGCTTGCACTGTAGCTCCATCCATTATGGTCTGGTATGAATATTAATGAGAATGAAAAGGCAGTGATACTTATTACATGGCTCGGCAGCTTTGCACCAAGGGGATGTTTAGTGTTCTACTTCGACTCGGGCATTCCAAACTCTGTGTCCGTTTCAGATCCCCCACAGGACACTTAGAATGTACTAGTGATGTGTCTCTTTGCGTTGACACGGAGGCAAACTCGAGAGATCTTGCTTGGGATGATCAGATGTGCTGAAGCCTGAAGGAACCCCGGATAGAATGCCAAGATTGAATTGTGGCGACAAAGGTTAAGGCTTTCAGGCACCGACGGAGTAGTGGCTCCTGATTGACGCTCGTGAACCATCCATCCTTGCAGGGTTGAAACAGTTGCATTCTCCGACGACCGACGTGGAGGTTGATGAAGAGGTGCATTGGAGTGGACATATATACCGGGCCGGCATCCGTATGTCACGTGCCATAGAATAATTCCGCATGTACACATCGGGCATTTCACAATTTCTTGCCTTAAAAAATAACTTACATAATGTTAAACATTATTTGTAATTTAATTTACCATTTCAGTTTAGTAGAAATTCAAAATAATATTTTAAGTTTTTTCTGTATTTGTATTGATTATGGAAGAAACTTGAAATTTTGTTCATGATTTCTATCAATCAAAAATGGTAAATTTAATTACAAATAATGTTTA